TGGGTGGCAAGTTCATAAACACCATAAAATCATTTATCTAACTGAAGATAATCAGGGGCCTACGATTCTCTCTGCTCCAAAAGATGCCAACACCAGAAGCCCAGTGATGCCCCTCTGCTGAGGCCGTGCTTCAGCTTCACATCATTACTACTCCTCAGAGGCACCTGCACCAGGACTATGGGGGCTCCATAGAAAACTTCCCCTTCCCCCAGATCCCATGGTGGACAGGCACGGGGCTCACTGTGACCAAACCTGCATTCGTTCTGGCACAGATGAGGGGCCGCTCACCTGGGTGCCTGGGGAGGTAGGGCTGCAGGCCGCCCTGTGTCCCGCTGAAGTCCTCGATGAATCTTTGCTTGCACAGCGGCGCCAGCACGGAGCGAGGGCTCTTCCGAACGTGGGGGTCTGTCAGCAGACGGTAAGTGGTTTTGCCGTAGGTTTCTCCAAACTGATAGTTGTACTGAGGGACGAAGCCCTCATAGCTGGGGAGGAAACCGAAACAGAGCGGTCACTGCCACGGCCTGTGCCGGAGGATTGGCGTGAGGGCCGTCGTGCAGCAGGCAGAGCAGGGCCAGGCACGCAGCACCGCATCGGTGGGCACAGGGACACCCGAGCTGCATGTTTGTACCTGGGCATATCCCAGCGCCCCTCATTCAGCACAAACTGCAGAACTGAGAGTTGTGACTTGTAACCTCTGAGCCCTCATAGCAAGGAGCAGGATGGGCTCACGACCCAAAGCAACCTGCACTGCTCCTTCCCTTCCTTTCCCCAGGTGACTTTGCAGTGGCTCTGGGGACAAGGGGCCTGGCCCAACTCTGGCTCCGTCCCCAAGCCCACCACAGGCCACAAACTCCATCTCTTCCCAGCACCAAATTTCCCAGCAGCGACGTTATTCCACCAGCACAGAAGGAAGGTAGAGCTGCCAGTCACAATGTATAGACAGAAATACTTGATCAATGATCCCGCTGTGTATTTGGGGATAAAGGCAGATGATGCATGAGGATCATAAGATGATGAGTAAGTACTTTCCCTTCCAAATACTTTAAACAACAGCCAGCAGAGCCATGCATTTGCACTTGGCAAGTTGTCCTATTTTGCATGCAGGATCTTTTACCGGCAGCTACTGGAGGAGCTCGGTGGCCCCTTCCCATTGATTTTCAATGCGTCTTGCAACACAGAGAAACTATGCAGGGACGATAAAGCTGAGCGGGAGCAAAAATGACACAGCCTAAATAATTACAGGCCAGCTGAAGGGATTTTGATCATGAACAAAATAATGGTAGGGCTGAGAAAGGATTCAATTCATAAGCAATTAAAAGCGAGGTAATCCGAGGAGCTCAGGCGAGTCAGTCTGGGTTTACGGGGAATGGATCTGCCACGTAAGTGAATCACAAGAGCTGCTGATAGAAGCCGTGGTGCTCTGGGAAGAGATCAGGACTCCTGCAGGCTGCTTGACTTTCTCTTCATGGTATTCTCATTAAGAAACCAGAGAAATCCCTCGTTTCTGTAGTTCACCGTTGCAGCCAGTGATCTTAAAACCCCTTCGCAAGCAGCAAGTCAGTGGCTTTCTGGAGGCTGTGCCCAATTTCCCTTTCTCTTGCTCAATCCTACCTTCAGTGCCCGCTCCCAGGGCTGCGTCACGGAACAGGGAGCAGCCCTGGCCCTGTGCCCGGCCCTGCACCGCTCCGCACCGCTCCCAGCTCCGCCGGGACGGGCAGGGCCGTTCCCAGGACAGGCCCACAACGTGGATCTACACCTTCTCCCCGTGCCAAGTCCTTGCCAAATGGCTCTAACATCGCGTTTCACTTCCCAATGCCTCCGAGCGCTGCGGGGGTGATTGGTGCCTGGTGCTTCCGAGTGGTTTGGGTGCCTGCGTGGTGCTGGGGACTCACCAGCACGGGCAGGCCCCACACGTGGGACAGCTGGAGAGGTGCTGCAACGTGTCAGCCTCCTCCTCCTCCTGCCGGCACCTCCCAACATCTGCAGGCAGCGACGTCTGCAGCAGTGGAGCCAGGCTGCAGCGATGCCCAGCAGGCAGCTCCTCCTCGCGTGCACCCAGCCCAGCGGGACCCTGGGCACGGGAGGAAGGAAGCCTCAAGCAGCAGGAGCTGGTGCCTCCTCCTGCCTTCTGCAGCTGAAGCAGCAGCCCGAGAGGAGCCGTGCAGCTGCAATGTTGGTATTAGGGCTCAAATCTGCCTCTTGCAAGGGCTGTTCTTAGGCAGGATGGAGCAAGGGAAGAATTTTGAGGCTTTGGGCTCCAAAAGGGAGGCGCAAGCCCAGCACAGCTCCCTCCTTGCTGCTGTCAGCACGCAGGGTGACAGCTCACAGCAGCACGCACACCGTTTGGACAACTACAGCAATGCAAGAGTAAGGGAAAAACCCAACCCCAGCGCTTAGGTAAGCTCTGAAGGCACAGAGGTCAGGAACGGGAAAATCCTGCACGTTGCTGTAATGGCAAGGACCAATTTCATCTTCGCTACCAGACAATTGCTGAGGAAGGAAACACGCTCCCAGCCTTCACCTGCAGCTCAGGCTCAGCCTCCCCTCTTGCCCATGGCCATGCAGGACTCGGGCTGGTTCCCTCTGTGCTGTTTCTCTGCCTCTTCTACCAGCTCCTGCCCGGGGAGGGCTCCCAAGGTGCCCTCAAAACTTCACTGACCCAAGTGACTTTGTACCAGCAGCCACCTGCTCTCTCTCGGTGGCCGTCCAGCCCTTTCCAGGTCACCCATGTGTGCAGGGCACCACACACACCGGGGCAGATCACCAGGGGACCCCACGCACCACCTCTGCTTCACCACAAAGCTTGTCCACATATTTCTGCCTTCGGTGTTTATGTTTCAACATAACATTTTAGCTCATTCATCGGGAACCACCTCTCACCAACCACAGCCTTGTTCCTTTCAAAGGCCATCACAGGACTTTGCAGAAAGCTTTTTTTTTTTTTAAAAAAAAAAAAATCCAGCTATATATCAGCCAGATCACCATTACCCACAGTCACTGACTTCAGAGGACTGTGCTCTACCCAATTAATTCATTGATGACAATTATATTCATGCAAATATTTATTCAAAGGAGATCTTCAGACATCCTTGGTGCAAAAATTACTTCAGTTTGGAACTAAAACCCAGAAGCTCTGGAAACATTTGGCAGCTTAGAATAAATGGAAAAAAAGGAAAAAAGTAGTTTTGAAGTTCCCCTCAATGCCCCGTGTCATGGTCTTTAATTACACCTGCCATAAGGTGCAGTTTTCCCCCTGGAGCCATGTCTCCTTCACTGCACTGTTAGATGGCACTTTTATCAGTGTCTTTAAAAAAAATCATGAGCCACGAGACGTATCCTATCCCAACCAGAGGTATTTGCGTTGGAAATGACCAGACTTTTTGGATGAACTTCAGGACTTACCCGGGGACATGGTAAGGATCCGGAGGGAAGAGGCTGCTCTCCCTGGGGGCCGTCATGGCACAGTGACAGCGGGAGGGAGGAGATGCAGCAGTCACCCGGGAAACCTCTGTGATGCTGCCGGGTACCGTGGTGTGATTCTGTGCTTCCAGGCGTACCACGCGGCTCTGCAGGTTTTTCTGGACGAGTCTTTCTTTACCCAGAAAGGAAAGCTCTGGAAATCTTGGATGAGCATGGAAATTTCATGGAGTTTGTCAGATTTCCTGCAGGCTCAGCACCCTTGGGACAGCAGCAGATGTTCCCCATAAGCGGCCCCGGCACGTGTCTGTGTTCACGCCGCCGTCCACGTCCCACACGTGCAGACGGGGAGCTCTGTGCTGTGCACACCCAGGTCCCCATGCAGTGCACACACAGCAAGGGCAGTGCTGACACTGGATGCATCAGCCCTGCTCTGCCCGCTCCTGGCTGCTGGAGGACCCAAACCTTCGCTGCCTTGCTACAAACAGGGCAAAGGAGCTCCTGTCCCCAACACAGCATGGTCACGGTGCCTGCTGTGGGGTGGTTCAGCCCCCCTCTGCCCAGCTCTTTTGTGTGCTGAACTGCTGTTGGGAGTGCTGTGTCCTTACCTTCAAGGTCATCCCACCTGTTGGCACCAGCACCACTTCCACAAACTGCAACACCAGGAGGGAGCCTGGCTCATTGCCAGTGTCCCTCTGTGGTCTCAAAGAACTCCAGCCACGTGGCCAGCACAATCATTTCAAGACCTCAGAGATACTAACCAGAAGTTGGAGTATTCCAGCATTTTCTCATCTGTTTAGGTGCCAGCACTCCACACAAAATTGCACCTGAGAAGACACATGTGCTGCTTTGACTCCTGCTCTTGGTACCTCAACATTTTGGGAGATCTGGAGTTTCCAGACCTTATGAGTTTGCCCCAGTACCTGAACTCTGCGGGAACAGAACTGCACAGCATCCCCAGCTCCGCAGGGTGGATGGGGCCACCAGGGGTACAATGACTCTACTCAGTGGAAGATGAGGGGCAGGAGGCTCAAGTTGCCCCGAGGGGAAGGCCGACTGGACATAAGGAGAAAATTCCTTCCCCACAGGAGCAGTGCAGCTCTGGGGCAGGGTCGGAGCAGGTGCCCACATCTCCATCCTTGGGGACCTTCAGAGCCCAGCTGTGCACAGCTCTGAGCAGCCCAACGCAGCTTTGAAGTTAGCTGTTTTTAGAGGCTGACTGGGTTAGAGACCTACAAAGGTCTCTCCCAACCCAGATCATCCTTTGAATTTAGTAAGAATATGAAAAAAATGCTTAAGGAAACAGTACCATATTGACAGCACTGAACAGTGACCCCAGGCCACTCTGGGTCCCACTTGCTGTCTCGGCTCCCTGGGGCTCAGGTCACCCTGTCAGTGCCTTCAGAAAGTTTCTCCAAAATCTGCTCCTTTTGGAGCAGCAGCTGCATTGCACTGGCTGCTCCTTCCAAACCTGGGGTCGCACACTTACCAAAGTTATTGAACAGTCACACCAAAATATCTGTCCTCAGTGCAGACACCTAGACCTAGGCAAAATAATTAAAAAAAAAAAAGCAGAAATTCACTTTTGTCAAGGTTATCATTAGAATTTATTGATATGAGAGAAACTTCGTATGTCAGTATGTCAGTGGAGGAACAGCACGTCCTGACATAACAGAAGGACAAAGCCCACCCAGGTGACATTACAGCGTTCTGGAACCTCTGAACTCCAAAACACAGGAGGTCACGCACACGGCTGTGTATTACTCGGCTCTGTTTTCCAGGACAGGATGGAAACTCTCCAGCAATAACACCAACGCATGGCTGCATACATGACCACAACAGCTTTGACTCCTGTCCCCACGCCAGGCACTTACAGCACACACGTGTGGCAGCAGCAGCTCACCCAGAGCCCCTCGGTCGAAGGGGGCAAACACCTGCTTTGTGGTGAGAGCCACCCGAGCCCGTGCAGCCCTCGCAGGGCACGAGATGCCTCGTGCTCCATCACAGGAAGGCTGCTCAGGGGACCAGCCCAGACCGCGATGCCTACACACAGTCCGGGGACTCCCACAGCGACCTGCAGCAGGACAACTGGGGGCAGCTGGGAAGCTTCAGGACCAGCTTTGCTCTGCCTGGGGAGCAGACACAGCACACTCAGTCCTGGCGTCTGCCAACGCAGGGACAGGTTTTCTCTTTCAACGTAACAGCCATAATTATCCTCTTATTAGAGCTGTTTTGGCATTCCCTCCGTCAGCGGTGTCCGCTTACAGAGCTCGTAGCACAGACACGATGTAGCTCGTAGCACAGTGAACACTATGCTGCTGGCCAAGATAGGAATTATCTTTACAACCTTTACTGGAAATACATGTTATACTGGATGCTGTTTGGAAAAATAAGAAACAAAGAAACAAAACAAAAAGTGCTGAACTTTAACCTCCCAGCTTATGAAATACTCGGTTTGGTCCGTAATATCTTGCTAAACAGTTACAAAGGGAATAGCAGAGTATTCCCCAGGCACCTGATAAATCCACAATGGATGTACTGTAGAAACAAGCTGAATTCTCTGACCCACTCCAAGGGTATTTCAGAGCCCTATAAAATACTCCAGAGAACGAGCCATTTGTGACACAACAAACAAAAAGACAACCCCGGTTCAAGGAGCAAGTTGTCTCGTGTTGTACAGGAAGCATCCAAAATCAGACGCGAAGCCACCCTGATCAGAACTGGCGGGATGTGGCAGTCCCACCCTGATGCCAGATTTGATCACAGCAGTAACAGAGCCTGGGCCGAAGTGCATCTGCCTGGCTGACAGCGCTAAACCTGCTGCAGACCTGAAGAGGGACTGCAGATGCTAGAAATAAATGCGAGTGTGTGCGCAGGTGCGTGCCGGCGATGGCACGTGCCCTGTTCCTTTTCCTCTCACGTGAGCTATGACGAGTGACATAGCGGGGGCTGCTCTCAGCCATTCGCTTTCACCAAATCTAAGTTCCCCCTGCACACTTAACAGCATCGACTTAGAGATCTCATATTAATGGGTACTTATACAGGATTAATTGCACATCAGTCCATTGTGGCTACAAGTTCATTAGGCTAATAAATCTACGTAGTGACAGTAGTACAGTATCAGCTACTTTTCAATACAAACTCCCTACCCTAGCCTTAATTTGCAGGTCAAGAGAAGATCTACTGTAGTGACCTTCCTATGACCTTTAACATTCATTTTTTTAATTTTCTTTTTTCTAGAAAAAAAAAATCCAGTGTGGGGAAAATGCACATATATAACAAAAGCAGTGCTTAACAACCACAGGAAAAAAGAACATGATCTTGGACTCTATCAGCATCCTCCGTAGACCCTGGTAGCATTACTTCCAAAGGGTTGCTAAATCCAGCTCCGTCAGTTCTCAAGTCTGTTAAACCATTTCCTAGCTCTAGTCAGTTCTAGTTTCTTACTATACATATCATCTCTAGCAAGAGCCTACAGAAACACTTGCTAATGTGCACAAGACTTCCATTTGATTTAATGGAATAGTTTTAGAAGACTGAAGTCTTTACTCCTACAAATCCGTTCTTGAATTGTGGCTCTCACTCAGGCTGGCGCCTTTCTGTTCCAACCAGGAGAGAGCTCCAAGTCCCTTGTAAAGTTTTACTCATTCGTCTTTCCCAAAGGCGTGTGGGTATCTAACAAAACCCCTCTCACAGTATTCCCAGGAAATGATTCAGAAGAGGAGATGATTTTTCAACCAAATGAGATCCTCTGGTCCTGCGCGTCAGACCATGGCCAATAGAACGAGCAGCTGCCATGGACGTCTCAATTAAATACGGTACAGTCAAGGGAGGAGAGCAAGGTGGCCTGACCATCTTCCTGTGAGGTACAGGCAAAGAGACACCAGAGTCACTCTGTTCTCAACAGTTTGTCTCTTTTTCTGGAGTCAAATGTTTGATTCCATTTGTTCTAGCAGGAAGTGGTGAATCATGTCAAAAGTGGGACGATCTTTTATATCCCTGCTCCAGCATTTCAGCATCAGGTCAAACACAGGGTTAGGGCACAGAGGAGTCTGGGAGAGATAGATCTGAAAAAAAGAATACAGCAAGTTCAGTGTTTGTTCCTTAAAAGAATCAAACCTTGACTAAACGAAAACCACAGGACAGCTTCGGTCTAGGCGTTACAAGACACAGCAGTCATGCAATGTTTGAAATCCATTAAGCGTGAATCTGGCAGTGAAGCCTGCACGGAGCTGCGACACCACCTCAGATGGCACTGCAGACACTTTGCCAACTTGTTTGATGAGCCGGTCATAAAACAGTCCTTTGTCCCACAGGAAACATGAATGCTTCAGAGAGACTTGTGTTCCAAGAGACAGAAAAACACAAACCAAAACTAAATTTACCACGATAAAATCCAAATACTTTCACTCACCGTAGACAACCCATGAGGCTTTCTAAGCATCGTGACAGCTTGTTAGCAGAGACAGAAAAAACACCTTTTAGAGCTTATCTACAGCACAGGTTGGCATTTTTTTTTTTCCTTTCCTCTCATTTCTATACACTGATCTTTTAGACTCTTCACTAGATCATTAGTATCTGGGAGACAATGAATAAAACTTTGCATTTTTTTTTTTTTATTTCCCTTAATCCTTTAATTTATTTGATACTAAATGTCAATCTGGGGAGAACAGCAAACAAATAGATGTCCACTCTTGGGGTACAGCAATCATCAGTGGGCTGGATTGTCATGCTCTATTTACCGTCATCACTGATATTTCTGTTAAAGGGTACGAAGGCAAGAACAGTGGACTGTACACTCCTGCCTGGAGCAACAGAGGATAATGAGACAGAAAAGCCTTTCAGCAACTAGGGATGGCCAAAAGCTCCTCAGCATAGATGGAGATATCACAGGGAGTATCTGAACCCCTGGGTGCTAACAATTCCTCCTTCCCCACCTCAGTGAGTGCTTCCTTGTCTTTCAGAGGAAACACTAAGGGCAGAAAAAACTGACAAAGCAAAAGGTTTGCGTAGGACAGCCCAGAAAAGCTAAGGAGGACAGTGCAAAGGCAGACTGAAGCAGAAGTGGCTTATAACACAGAAGAAGCACTGGACAGGCCAGGAGGCTCTTCCAGTGGGACTCCAAGAGAGGAAAGCCAGTCCAATGAGCCTGGACGAAGGGCAAGAGAGGTGGGACACATTTGAAAAGAGGAGTAACAGAAGCAGGGACTTTTGCAGATAATGTAAGGCCAGCAGAAGGGTCTCAAGGAGATCAGTTTGGATGCAATCAAGGTCAGGTGAAGGAAGAAGTCACATTTGCTTTCTTACCTGCCTTCCCTGGCTCCGGAAGAACTCTCCCGTGTTCTCGATGACTTGCTCATCTGAGAGGAGGCTGTAAGGTTGCTCCTTACACAGTATGAACATCTCCCAGAGTGTGACCCCAAATGCCCAGACATCACTGGCAGTGGTGAACTTGCCCTGTGAATAGAAAGGATGTTGTAAGCCTGGTTTGCCCACAGTGCATGTTTAGCAAAGGCTATTTCAGTCTGCTCTCTCTAAACACGAGGATTCACACCTGGGAAAACGCTCTCCATAAAGACAGCAGAGCAGGTGACCTGCTCTGAGCAATGCACAAAGGGACCAAAGCACGACATTGCTGCTTTGCAGGGCAGGAGCACCATGTCTCTGTGGACCCACGGCACCTAATAAGGTGCAGCTTTCACTGGGGCAAACCTCTTGAAACAGGGGGCAAGTCTCAGAGAAAGTTAGCAACTTACCGTCCCTCTTGAGGAAGTCTGCATTTGCCTCCAGCAGTAGCACAATGCTGTAGGCTGTGGCAGCAGGGTGGAGAGCTGCTGCCTACCTCCACCCAAAGCACAGCAGTGCAGTACAGAAAAACCTTTGAACAAGGAGCAAAGCCCTAGGGGTGAAAGCAGAGCTGAAGCAGGCTCTTAGAGGAAGGCCAGGATAATTTTGATCTTTGTACATGTAAAAGTTGGTGACAGTCAGCTCTCTGCCCTGTTTTCTGTCTTTAAAAAAATGTGCCCAAACTGGATGTGTTTGGAACAATATGTTTTTGAAGGAAAAAGAAGCTAAAGATTGCTCACAAAATAACACACAACAATCGGGGGCTGGAGGGCCTGTTTTGTCAGAAAACAGCCCAGACCCGGATTGTCCAGGCTTATCTGGCAACCCTGGTAGGCTGCAAAGGTTTGGAAGATATTCACACAAGAAAGGAGAGGAGTGATTTATAGTCTAGATGAAGCTGTAACCATGAAAAGAGGGTGAACTTAAAAAAAATAAAATAAATGTTTAGGCCCATCAGCCTTTATGGCAGCCATAATTACAATACCCCCTCCAAGTACATAGAAAAATTGTAAGGAAGTATAACTACATGACCTAACTGACTTGTTTGAGAAAGAAATATTGGGATGAATACTAGGAATCGCCTCTGGATTGGGCGTGTTTGGGTTGCTGAACAGTCTCCTGAGGGGAGCCAGCAGGACCCTTAAACTCAAAACAAAACCTCAACCTCAAGCCCAGACTTGGCACTTGATGCTCGTCAAATTTTGTTCCTGCCCCTCCAGGCTTCACAGCTGGGGAAGCAAGCTCAGAAAGGCGAGTTGCTTATGACTCCAGCAGGAATCCTGAATGTCAGAAACAGAACACAAATTAGGCTCCAGATGTGCCTAATTTGCAAGGGCACCCTCCTTTTCCAGGCTATTAGATTTAGGTATGTCCAACAAAACCCAACAGACAACTCACCAGAGGCCATCTGTAGCTGTAAAGGCCGTTACACATACATGTCACAAATTCAGGGGTACAGTGAGAACCAGAGGAAGGGAGACAGAATGGTTTTGTGTAGTGCCTACCAGGAGGATGCTTTCCCAGGCCATCCAACGTATCGGCAGTACTGCTCTGCCCTGGATACGGTAGTAATCCCCACTGTAAAGATTCCTGCTCATGCCAAAGTCTGCGATCTTGATGGTGTAGTTGTTTCCCACCAGGCAGTTGCGAGTTGCCAGGTCTCTGTGCACGAAGTTCAGAGATGCTAAATATTTCATTCCAGAGGCAATCTGGGTGGCCATGTACAGCAGGTTGGAGTAGCTGCATTGAAAGATGACAAAACAAAGTCAGTACATTTCTTGGCACTCAACTCTTACTTGGCTTTTCTTACTGCTTTACCTTGCATTTGATGTACTACAGTGACCTGACGTTTTATTTTTTGCCCTAACAGCGAAAATAAACTGTCTAGGGCACTAACATCCCAACCTGCCAGGCTAGGCCAAGTTCCTGAGCTGCAGAAGCAAGAACAGACAACCTGTCCCTGAAATTCAGGGCCCTTAGGATTTGAAATCCCTTAGGTATTTAATATCAAGCATTACTATCAAGATTTTCAAAGAGATCATGCAACAAAACACCAACTTTTCATAGAAAGCCAGGAAAAATGAAGCTGTACAATCTCAGAATTTCAGGTCTTAAAAATTGCCGAGTTTAGTATTTCAAACCATCATTATCACATACTTATATCAGTAAGCATGTGACATAACATTTAAGAGAGCTTAGTTTTTATGTTTAATATAACTATGTGAACTGATGTATTATCCACTTGTTAAAATTTCAATTTTCCCATTACCAAAATTAAGATAGTTTTAATAAAGTTGCACAATACACGGACAGAATTTGGACCACCTGACTTTCAGCATTCTTCACACACCATTATTTTGTGATGCCCAGCTTTTCCCACTGTGCATGCTCAAACACTTCATATAAACAAGCACTTGTCAAAACAAATCTAACGAACTGTTCAGTCAGTATTTCTCTGTAAAGCTCAAGAAAAAAAAGCCATACTCAGTGGTCTCATGGCAATGACAGAAGCTTTATCATTTTATCTAAATTATAACAACCTATCTAATGATAACATATCCAATCTACCTGTTCTAACCAACAGCTAAGCTGCTGCTACAAAGCTCCAGGGGCAGCCCCTCTCCCTGACACAGCACTGGCCAGAGGGTCTGGGCACGACTTCCCTCCCAGCCTTCCAGCACGGTGACCACCACAGCCCAGCCAGGTGACTCTCAGCCCCGTCCCATCATCAGCTCAGTGTTTCTGATCTGCATGGACCCATCACGTCCCCAGAGAAGGAACTCTGGTGCTCACTTTTGCCTTGTTAACCTGGCTGTTGGCTTTCTGCTTCAGAGGGGGCTTAGCCTCCAGGCCCTACCTTCTCCCTTCCCCCTGATCAGCTGCCAGCTTTGTCTCCCTGCTTGGTGATGCTCCTCTTCCAATCCAAGATGCCCAGTCCACCCCATCCCCTCTGCATCCTGGCAGGTCTTGTCAGCAGCTCTCTCCTGGCTCCCAGTGCCCAGAGCAAGCAGCTCTGCATACAGAGGAGCAGACACTTCTCAGCAGACTTATCTTCATGACTTCCTACATAGCCAGAGAGGCAGTGGGAGATGCATTTCAAACACCGAGGAGCTGTATGGACAGCTGGACCTTGCCACATCAACCAGACACCCCTAGGAACTGGCAGAGAGACAAGCTGCACTCTTTGGCACGGGGATTCATTTCAGTATCAGTAACTAACTCCTACACAGACAGACATCTGAGCCAGCCACACAGGCTTCCTTTAACGTGAAACTCTATCTGCTTGGGAGGGACAAAAGGAGAGGATGAAAGAGCAGCTGGAAGAGAAAGGAAAACTTATGGGTAGGGCCAAGTAATGGAAAGCAAGGAAGAACCCCAGTGAATGCCAGTGCTGAAGTCAGATGAAAGGTGAGGAGGAGAAGAAAAAAGATAGTCCGAAACTATGGCCAGGAAAAAAAAAAAAGAGAAACCGAGTCTAGAGGTGAAAGCTCTTTCAACTGTGTGGAAGAGACAGGAGAGAGCTGGAACATGCGTCAACTCAGATGTAAATCCTCTCCCATCCTACAGCAGCTCCTGGTGTGTCATGACTCTATATGTTGCCTGTTTAACATTCCCAGACAGGACCACTAACCACTGCCAGCTACTGGCAGAAGCAGGGGTGTTGTCTAGACATGGTAAGACACAGACATCTCCTGTCCAGTCCATCAACAGAACTTGCTCTGCCTAACTGCCTAGCTCTTTAACTGTAAATAAATCTATTTCTTTGTGGGCGTACATGCCAAAGGCTAAGCAATACAGTGATTTCTTGTCAGTTTTCTTTTATGAAGCCAAGTACGTGATAGCTGTATGTGCAACTCTCATCTGTGAGGAACAAATTTCTGCAATAGTAGAGATGTTTTCATGTTAGCTTTAATCCTTCCACGGAGGAGGGAGATAAGTGCCACTGCGGACAGAAAACGTTTGTCTTTGCCAGTGAAATATTCTCCTTCTGTCAGCTGATGAAATCTTTCCTTCAATGAAGCTCCACACTCAGCTTCCCTTATGTAATATTTTTAGGCATCCAGAGAATGTACAAAACATCTCAAAAGTCTAAGAGAAATTCTTGATTTTCATCCCAAAACTCTAGCTGCAATGCATCTGGTTTGCCACTTAATGAAATATTTGATGCGAGCCCACTAATGTAAACAGATGGGTACATCAGTAAACAACATATGTCAGATGGTCACTGTGACCAGAACAGCCCCCAGGCAGGGACACTTCACAGGAACATGCATCTCTGGAGGCCTCAAGAACAATGTCCCACTGCAAAGTGGGACTAGTGACTCACAGTATGTGCTGTGGCAGTGGCCAGGCTGGAAGGTCGCTGCCTGGAAAGCACAGCACAAGGAACTGGCAGCTCTGTATCACCAATTTGTCCTACGTATGGGCAGCTCCTCTTACCTGACACAGGGAATGTTGTTTGAAATTGCAAATTTACTGTAGATCTCCCTCTGTGACAGGAACTGATTGAGGTCTCCATTCTCCATGTACTCTGTTATCATGCACAGTGGGTCATCTCGCACGCACACCCCCAGAAGCCGGATGATATTTGGGTTCTTCAGCCGTGACATGATTTTGATCTCTTTCAGGAAATCATTTCTTGTAAAATAGAAAACGAAGGTTTGAGTCCTAAACTATTCCTTGGTTTAAAGAAAGCAAAAGCAGCATGTAAGAAAGTACCTGACCACAGAGACTTTTACACATCTGCATACAGTGAGTTTGAGAGATGGTTCTGGGCTTGTGTGCAGCATCTACCCCTTCCCCAACAAACAGGATTAATACAGCATTTCAGTTTGACATCATCTGTTCCTACCGTCAGCTCTCTGCTTACATCCTGTTCTTTACACAAACACTCAGCACCCTCCGAGGCTTTTCTCTTACAGAGTCAATAGTGTTAAACCATGTGAAACTGTTGCCTGGGGAGTATTTGCTTTCCTTCTCAGGTGGTTGGCATTTGGGATGTACTTACCTGGCTGTTTTGTTGACATCTGATCTTAGCATCTTCACTGCTACTAGAACCGGCTGGTGAGTGAATTCTGAAGAAGAGACCCCCAGGAACTCCAGCAGGCCATCAGCTTCACAGAGGTGCACCTGCAGAAAGCAATGGCAGCTATGAGAGCAGGCACACGCAGAAAGCCAGAGCAAAACGACACACTGAGGTCATCAATTCGGTCAGCACTGGTAGAATGACCAAGTGAATGATCTAATGGAAGTGACATCGTTCTGATGACAAATAACCCATAGATTGGCCAAAAATCCTGAACAAGACTGTGTGTGTGCACTATGTAGCCCACAATGTAGAAAGAGACATGGATTGCAGCCTGATGGGTCCCCATGGCATTGAATTTACTCCACACATGTAGATCATCGGCTCAGTACATGACTGGGGGGTCCAATTTGCCCAGCAAACACTGGAGATATTCAGGAAGGCCCCTGTGCCTGGAGCTGCCTGCGTTATGATGCATGTGCATGCAGACTACGTGGCTGCAGCACACTTGGCATGTAGCACAACACAACAGCTGTACACGTACAGAATTGTCCTGCAGCCTAGCCTGGCTTGAGTCACTGCTCAGACTTAACTGAGGAGCGTCCAGAAATTACAGACAGCTTTCCAAAACCCTTTAATTCCAGAAAAAAGGGGAGTAGTGCGTGTGTGTGTGGTGTGAACACCTCACCTGTGAATGCACTCAAAGGTGAAGAGGTGAATGCTCTTAGGAAAGCACAGAATCCAAAGTTTCTTCACATTAAAAAAAAACAACACAGTAAAGACATGAAATTACTGCCAGGGTTGTAGAAAAGAGAAGGTGGGGGAAGGGATGCAATAAAACATTTGCTTAAGAAGTTATCAGAAGGCACATTTAAGAGAACTGGGCAAGAAATGCTGTAGTAGGTAAAACAGACTGAGTGCGCAGGATAGGAAAAAGGACTGAAGGAGGGGAGCAGACCAGATGTGCTAGCAGAAAGGTGAGCATAAGTGATAGCTTAATTTTATAGCTCACTTATGTATGTTATATTGTTTATATATTTTACAATGCATCAAGAACTTATGCAAGAAACATGGTGAAGAGAAAGAGGAGACAGCACAGAAAATGGATAAAGCTACAATTCAGAAACAGAAGTACAAGAAGGCTGCTGCAGTTACATGGAGAATGAAATCTGCTGGGGTGAAAGTACAGTCATGAGACTCACTCTCCTTAAATTCTGAAAGTCTAGCAACAACATCAAGTAGAGACCAGCTGTACAAGCCAGGAATAAGAAAGAGCCATGGTAGGTAGTGAGGACCTGTATTTTAAGTGCTCATAGTGCCTCACTGAGTCCAGAAAGTAGATAGATAGGAGCAGAAAAAAAATGCTGTGAAAGTTATGGAAGCCCTGGGTGAGAGGTGAAAAAAGCATGAATGAGCCATGTTGCTAGAAGCAAAATTGCACGCTAAGCCAGAGCAGAGGAGCAGAGCATAGGACCAGTTTGGTGAGACTACAAAGGTGAGAAGCAGAGAAGGGAGCACAGTGATGCAGCATATTTACAAAAATGAGGAAAAGAGCCTGTGATGCAAGGAAAGAAACAGGCCATGAATCAAACTCCAAGAAAAACGGGGATGGAGAGCCTGTCTGCTGCCGTTTAACAACACAAAGGAGGAGGAGGAGAAAGCTTTGACAGTTATTAGAAGGAAAGGAATGAGTAGAAAAGAAAAACCAGAAGCAAAACAGTGAGGAAAAAAAACCCAACAACTCATGTTGGAGTACAAACCAAGACAGCAGGATTCACACCACAAAAGGGGCTGCACTAACAGCCAGGTGAAGAGATTGAGGATGTTAGCACCTCTCCAGTACTCTGATTAATCCAGAAAGAAGTGAGGGGGACAAGGAGAGAGGCTGGGGCAGGGAAAGTGCGCTGTCAGTAGGAAGGAACAAAAAATATTGAACGAAAAGTATGGACATCCACAGATGAGAAAGCAGTCAGTAAAGGGCTGTGCTTTGCCAAAATGTAGCTAACAGAATTTTTAAGGTTGTGTTTGAGGAAAAGCTGGGGAGGATAAAAGAGAGGAAGAGAGAGCAAACAAGGGGAAAATCTGGCTCAGTAATGTGTGGATGCAAAGCAGGGAGTGATGAAAAAGAGAGGGGAAGACATTCACAGCTCAAAAGAGGCCCAAGAAGTAAAGAGAGAGCTTGGCAGGAGACAGATGCATGTATCATGCTGCCTGAGGCTTCTGACACAGACTGGGACTTGAGCAAGCAGTGATGTCAGAAAATATGCAAGGTCACCACAATGCCTGGACAACGTCTGTCTTGGCCAGGGCCAACGTGCAGAGCCCCATCAGAACCTCCACCTGTTAATGTGAAAGCTCTTTTTACACCCAGGATGAGTCTGCCTTGGTTGGAATCACTGCTAGAGTTGACACTAATCACACGTTTGAGGTGTCCATGGAAGAGCATGAAACAGTCTGAACTCACACTCCCAGGCCTCTTCTGTAGGGCCATAAATAGGGATAAAGGCAGCAAACAGCCACGTGTTTGTAAAGCTCATCTGCTATGAAAGGCTCACACATGGCACTGGGCAGCAGCCTCAGAGGTGCAGAACTGGGCTCTCTGAAGCCTACCCTAAAGGACATCAGCGTAACTGAGCCACCTGGTCTAGGGGAAGGTGTCCCTGCCCATGGCAGGGGGTTGGAACTCAACGATCTTTAGAGGTCCCTTCCTACCCAAACCATTCTACGACTCTAGAGCAAGGACATGTACTAAATACAATACTGGGATGCAGGTCCCCCAGTCCCTATGTGTGCAGCTGAGCCAGAGAGGCAGCTGAGAGGATTCGCTGTGCCACTCAACTCCTTCCTGTTAGAGAAAGCGTGGAAGAGAATGGCTGTACCTCTCCAAACTGTCCTTCTCCCAGCTTCTCCTTGAGTCGTAGCTGCTGCCGTGGGAATTCGCCTACTGAGATGTCCTTCTTGGTGAGTGAATCCACGGTGAGGGCTGGGACTGCATACATGTTGTTGCCTGTCACGCCTTGGAGGTGGACAATATCCGTTTCAGCGTAGTGAGGAACATTGTTCTGAAAGCCTTGGTGAGGAGTAGACTTGGTCAGGTCAGGCTCAGCATAGTCCCCGCTGCACACTGAGGAAAAAACAGAGACAGGGGGAGTCAGACACTCTCACTGCCTTAAAACCAGTATAACCTGGCCTCCACTCCTCTGAACCCTGCAGACCTCTGGGAGCTAAGCCCAGCTGCACACCTGCTAACCTTACACCAGCGTGCACTGAGATGGAAGACTGCACTTTGTTTTAACTAGGGCTTAAACCAGGACGAGCTGCACTTCTTCCAACTCCAGAACAAATGCCTGTGAGTTGTGAGTGAATTAATCAGTTCCCTGATCCATCCAGAGAGCTAAAATTCTTGCCCAGACATGGAGGCATGAGTCTGAAGTGGTTACTTGTTTCTGATTCATCCTAAATTTGATCTGTTCCTCTTACCTGACGTACAGAATGTTGCTTGCAACATCAAGTTTGCTCTAGATTCCTCTCTGGAGATTGAAGTCTCCATTTTCTACATGCTCTGTTATCATGGTACCCTATGCCTCTTACAGCTTATTCACATAAACACCATGGGATAACTCTTTATAATTAACTCCCTGTATGGTCAGTAATACCCAGAACTATCGTTCTGCTTTAAATTCACATCCTGACTCAGTCCAAATCAATCTCCTTCTGTAGCATAATGCTGGACCTTAGCATGTTGTTGGTGCTTGAGGAATGCAGCACTGCCCTTACACTCGTTAATCAGTAGTGCCATCACAGAGTACAAAAGCCTCTTGGACGTGTTCCCTTCTATGTGCATCCAAAAGCTCCCCAGGGGCTGGAAGCCAGTGCACCACTGACAACCCCCTGCTGCATTTGCCTCTGCTTTTTCTATGGGAATTTCAAAGACTTTGCTGCAGGGAGAGGTGCTAAAGGCCTTCTCCTCTTCCACCAGCCAGTCTGGGCAGCCTGGGAGTGCTGCAGGCAGTGATTCCACTGCCAAGGGGCTGAGACAAACGATGACTTGCTGCTGTACTTGCCAAAACCAGCTCCTAGAAGATGACCTGGCTAACGTATAAACAATCTTTAAAGAGAATAATAAAAGGCCACCACCCTCTAGTGGGGCTGGTGCTTCATCTACCAAGGTTATGTACTAAAAAGTTTCAGAACTTCACAATACTGTCTTAGGTCCCTGGGTTAGTACTGCATTGTAGTCAGAGAAGATTAGTCAGACACTGAAAACTGGCACATGCTCACAGGTGAGGGAAATAATAAAAGAATAAATATCTAACTTCTGGTGACTGATGGTTATATTACCTGAATCCTCTGCACTTTGGGAGAGCTCTGGAAGCTTATGGAGCAGTGTAGCTGGTTGATGATATTCCAAATCCAGTGGAAAAGCACGTTCATAGGTGGGATTTGACTGGTGGATCTGTGTCTGGTTGTTGGCGATGGTGTAGCTATAGAAGGAGAGGCGAACCGTGGCATCTTCCTCCAGGATTCGGCGTGGGGCCTTCCAAAAAAAGAGAAAAAACTGCTGAGGTGATGCTCAGTTGTTGAGTAATGTACTGGCTGCAACTGCAGCAATTTCCAGTAATGTCTTGGATAGGACCTGCATCCTCCCCTGCTGTGGGAACAGAGATTTAGCTACTAGATGGAGCAGAGGAAAACCCTGTACTTCCCACATAATTCAGAGCTCTTTAGGGTTAATACTTAGAACTAAACTTGTGCCTGCAAAGTAGCCCCATTGTATTACCTTTTCCAACCTTTTCTGAACATACTGCTTCCAAAGAATAATGACTATAATCATCAGGAGCAGAAGAATAATAGCCACAAGGCAGCCCACGAGGATGGAGGTATTGGAATCATCTGCCTTCTCTCCTATCCAGGTGCTGGTTACAGAAGACGTGGTTTCTGCAAACACAGAGGAATTAAGAACAATCTGCCATCAACAAAGCACAGGTTGTTACACGTGCTGGCTGACTTCCACGAGACCATGTCCCTTTCCATAGGCTAGTACAGAAGAGGTCTTAGGCAGCTCCCTCAGTATTAACATCAGCTCTGCCCTCATTTTGCTATAATCACAAATTCTCACTTTGGAGGCTCACAGCTAAGAACTGTGCAGAGGACTTCTGCAGCCACACACTGTTCTTAGCATTGGAACTGATTCCTTGGATGGATCCATGTTAAAGCAGACAGCTCTCAGAGTTTCACAGGCTGCACGTATGCATTCAGCCCACTTGTTCTGAGGTAGCCTGGGCCAGAAGACACAGCTGAGGCTGTGAGATGCAGCGCTGTGTGCAAGGGCAATAACCAGGCCATACCCAGTTCTCCAGAGAAGGAGACACTACATTAGCTAGGGTGTTACTTTGAAATCCCCCAACACTTGAGACCTTAGTGACAGAAGTCCTTACCCCAGGTGCCCTCGGTAACGTTGTGTGCTGTTTCCAGGAGATCTGTTGTGCTTGTGGCTACCGTAACCAAAATAGGATTTACGCTCTCCATGTCTGTGGGAGGGAAGTGGAGGTGTCAGTCCAACAAAATCTCTGCTTCTGCCAGCAATCTGTGCAATCCTGACCATAACCCCCGCCTTCCCAAGTGGGACTGGGCTGAGACCCACATAGCAGATCATGAGCAACGTGAGCAGTTATCTGCTCCCTCTGAACTTCCCAGTGTGCCTGCAGGAGGCTGCACAGCCTCTCCACTGAGCAGCCCACACCTGCCGACCACAGCAAACAGCCAGCACATTCAGCATCCTTCCCTGAGCTTGGCCAGACAGCGGGGACTGAATCAAGAGCTTTTTTTTTTTTTCCTCCCACCTTCCTTCTCATTTAAACATGATTATAAAAATTGTCACCCTGGGCTGGACTGAGAGCCTTGCCTAAATCTCACATGTAAAAGGGAGGGCAGCCAGCAGGGGCTGCTATCAGCAAGATAAGCAACAAGATGCAGTCAGAGCTCTCCCTTCCAGCAATGGCTTCTCACAACAGCTGCTGATGGACCTTTGAGTGGAAAGCTAGAGCCACAACATTTATGCATCAGTGATAGCTGTTTTCTGCAAGGGATTTGACAGAGTCTAGAAGAACTTTTCAAAGCACCTCATGGTACTTACTTCTGTTTCATAGTTAAGATATAAGCAACAAAAGTTTCAGCCTCTTGTGTTTTTTGTTGTTGTTGGTAGTGGTTTTGTTTGTTTTTCTAAATATATAAATCTGCAATCTGCTAACTTTATTGCTACCTATAGATGTAGTTCAATTATTCATAACAAAATGCTTAGTAAAAACAGGTGAAAATTGACCCCTTGAGCAGCAGGTAACTGCCTTAAATAGAAATGTCCTACAGTCCAATTTTTGGTTGCCCTGGTTGCATTTCTGCTTATGTATATCAGTATCAGCTTGAAAAGCATCCTCTGTAGACTGGACCTTTCTGCCTTTGCAACTCTCTCAATGTTTCTGCTACCTTCTCCCCACTGTGTCGCCCCACAGTGCCCTACTAACTGTCTTACACTAACCCCACAGGTCCTGCACCTCCCCAGTGTCATTTCTGCTCTCCACCCTCCCCAGGATCTACTCGACTGGAGGAACACTCACCTGATTGAAAGGAAATCTCACTCATCATCATCCAGGTGTCAGCAAAGTAGAAGCGGCAAAGTATGGCTTTACCCACATGCTGATTGAGGGGGACAGTCACAAACCTAGCACTGGGGTTTTTGTCATCTAGGACAGTTGCCACTCCAACAGGTTCAGGCTCCCAGTCTGCAATCAGGCGTGGTTTGAACAGACACTCCACCTTCTGGAAGATCTTCACCCCCTTGGAAAACATGTTGTTGCAATGCACCTAGAAAAACAAAACAAAACAAAAAACCCAAACAGGTCAGACTGGAGGAACCAAAATCAGTCCCCAGGGATTCTGTTAACAAAGACTTTCCGTTTCTAACATCTCCCTCATCTCCCTGTATGGATACTCTTAATCCAGAGTAAGTGACTTGTTCAAGCATAGCTCCATCCACCCAATGTGCAATAAGAACATTTGTGCAAAAAAGTGATTCTGAACAGCTGTTAGCTGTACACACAAAACCAACAATGATGGCATTTTGGCATGCTCTTCAAAAGGCCCATATAAAAATCAATCAAACAAACCCTGTACTCATCTAAAGCATCAGATCAATTCTCCTTGATCCTACAAGGGAAGAGAAAACTGTACCTGGACTTGAGCCTCTTTAGAAAGCCTCCAGCTTTCCGCAGTCTAAGAAATTTCTTCCAAAAAAATAAACAAGCAATGTGTGCAACCTTGAGAAGAAGATTCCCCTGACATCCAGGGCTTCTGCTGTGGTTGCACCTTGAAGACAACTGAGGATCTGTGTTTTCTTTATACTGTCCATGTAAGCCTGCATCTATCAGCCTCTCCTGGTGGCTCAGTACACCGTCAGGTTGTCCTTGCTGCACAGGACTCCACTAGTTTAGTCAATGGTGCTGGAATTTAAACCACCATCACTGTGCTGCCAAGCTAACATCTCAGTGAAACAAAGACATCCTCTCCTGTCTCTGAGTTATGGCTTCACACTCTTGGCTTTCAGACTAAGCAGCGTGCAAACTGCTTTCAAGCTGACTTCACAGATCTGCATTTGGGAGGTTTGCCTTACCCTCTCTGGAGCTGGTAGCACCATCTCCCCTTCCTGCTCCTGGGCTGCACCCAAACCTAGAGGTTCCAGCATAAGTGACATCTCCACCTCCCCGGGGGGCAGCACTGCAGACCACTCAGCAAACACATGGAACCCTGCCAGGTCTCTGGCACTTCCAAGTAAGTGGGCTTTGCAAAGAGACAAGGCTTGTAAGGATCCTTAACGCTGTTATACTGCCTAACAGTTATACAAATATTGCCCTGCCCTTTTCAAATACATAAATACAACAGTTTAAGTTCTGCCATGCAATCCTGAAGCTCTGGACCACTGTATTTGGCACTGCAGCCAGTGACCAGGAACCAAAGCTATAAGATGATCCTTAAAGCCGTCAGTGCCCCTCAGCCTGCTCCTCTGTTTTCAGAGCCACGGTGGTCTGAACCTCCCTAGCAACTCCAGAAATTTCCTAATGTCTGTGGAGTATTAGCAACTGCAACAACAACAGTTTCCCAACTGAATGCAGCTCTGAACCCTATTAATTGCTTGGCCTCTGAAATCTTGCAGTGAATAGCAGTGAAGCAGTAATGAGGACAACAGGCCTAGCGAGCAGGGAGAAGACAAAAGAAGGGTATTTGAGCATAATTAAGAACAGATGAAGCTTAGACAACATTATTCAATATGGAGATAGAGTCATCCATAACAAGGCAGGAAAGCCTGACATCTGCAATATACTGTCTGTGCCATATTTGGACGGGAGTTGGATATGTTCACGTCTTGGACTGATACAGAGACACTTTCTATTCCAAACACCACCTACTGAAGTCCAATTTTATAATATGCAAGCCTAAGTAGTTTGCAATGCAGTTGCAATATTTGCTAACATTTATTATTAGTACTTTCTTGGATATTGGGAAAGTGCAGAAGACTGGAATGAAGCTAACAGGTATCAAAGTATAACACAAAGAAAAGTATTTACAGACCATATAGTCTGCACAAAACAAATGCACAGCTGAACTGCTCACATTCAGTAAAGATGGAAGAATAATTTATGCTAATCGATACAGTTTTATAATGAAATACTAAATGAAGTAACTATTTTTATGAGCTTATGCATTTGGTTGATCAGGATCACTGCGTTTACATGAAAGATCTTTATAAGGCATCTGATTTACTCATTAGAACACCTGACTCCAATTAGCATAATATGAACTCATGAATTATATTAATTTGACCAAAATCTGTCAACTAGTAAGTCTTATAATGTAAAAGGCACAAATGACTCTTTTCTAGGTGTTTTGCTAGTAGAAATGTATTCCTCACTCGAGGTTATTCACTACTTTTTTCAATGACCTGAAAGAAAGAGCAGAATCACCAACAATAAAATAAGTAAAATGAGAAAAAGAATTGCAGAAGTCGAACAGCTTCCTCAAACTAAATTGAACAATGGTCTGGGTTTGCTGGACTGGTTCATTTCAAGATAGTGAACTCAAGAACAAAATGTAAGTAATGCTTTCTGCACTGCAAGCCAATAACTTTGAACTGACTTTAAGCACGATACCAAAGTCTTAATGAACATTGGCTCCTTACCCTTTGGCTAAGAGGACCTAATATGATCACAAGATTCATAAACAAAGAAGAATCGTCCAAGGCCAGGAAATTGATACAATTCTTTTATGTAGTTTGATGAAAAACCTGCATCCAGTTCCAGTTTCTATACCTCCAAAGGAGTACTGGCAAACAAAGGACTGGAAGATAGCTACCAGAGTGATCTTGGATCTCACAGGACATTGAGAAGTTCAGCCAATTTAGTTTACTGAAGCAAATATTAAGAAAGTGATTTAGTCACAGTATAGAAGCAAAGAAGTTTCTGAGAAGGCAGGATTCCTACTTTTTGCCAGCAAAAGCAGGCTAAGAGCCAGTGGTTGCAAGTTAAAAATAGACAAAATAAAACCAGGGTAAGTAACCACCAAAACAATTTACTTAAGGATGTGGTGGGTTCTCCTTCATTTGAAATCTTTACAAGAAAAGCCACTGATCCTTTTAAAGAGATTTTGCTGTTTACTACAGACTTTAAAAGTTCAGCTCATCCTTCTCCTCTGTGTGTTTTAAGTAAGTTCTGGCAGCACAAGTGCCGACTGAGGTGCCCGGGGAAGTTTTTGATGAAAATGGAAACACAACCATCTTCCTTTACCTCAAGGGTCAGACAGGCCTTAGACAGTAAGCAGCTTGCATCCTAAATCCACCTTAATTGCCAACAGGGGCTGCCTAAACACTGCTTCAGGTGCTTGCTTTTTATTCCTTAGTTATTTAAGCCAAACACTGAAAGGAGAGTGACCAAGCTCTGGAGAGGCAAGCGTTCCCCTGCTTCACCTACCTACACCTGCAAATCTGGGATATCTCCTGCACAAATTTTGACTCCGGTAGTTTCTGCTGTCTGTTGGGCACTTTATATCCTCTGGCTTTGGGGACAGAGCCCAGAGGGGCAACCTGGAAGTGCCCAGACCCAAGGCCCACCCCAGGCTGCTGGAGAGTGACAACGCTGAATACCTTCATGGAGGTGAAGTTCCGTGGTCGGTCGAACTGAAACTCCATTTCAACACAGCCCGTGCTGAAGCTCTCGTTCTTCCAGCCAACATAGTCATAGCCTGGCCACACGCGGTACTGGTGGCTCTGCGTGAAGTCGTCCAGTCCCAGCACACCGTCTGTCAGCTGGCCCAGGCCGCCGTACAAGTGCCTAGTAGGAAAGAGCCAACAGTTACATAGACCCAGCTGGGAGAGCTCAGAGGGAAAGCACTTGGGTCCTTCAGCTGGCACCAGAACATTCATTTGTTCACTCAACACATCCTGGACAAGAACTGGTTCTCTATTATCAGGCAACATCACATTTATTCTGTTCAGACTGGGCTTTTAAAAGCCTCCCCTGCTCTGGAAGAGGCAGGAGTTTGTGCACTGATACCAAGCACTGACAGCAAAGCCAAGCTACAAACAGAGTTTCTCCAGAAGGAAAACAGAGACCACAGACAGCGATGGCGTATGCTCTCCGAGCAGCAACCTTTACTCGCAGCATTTTATCATGGAGCTGCATGGGAGGAAACCAATTCCCTACTATGGGGAAACCATTGGGGAAAGGTTTGCAGACAGGCACAGAAAAGCAGAAAACAGAGCAGTGAGACCATGGGTAGCTCACCCAGCCACAGCCAGTTGTAACTGGGATTATTTCTGGCATTGCTGCTTGTACAAAAGGAGAGCATTATTGGCCCCACTTGCAAAGCTATTAAGATTTTTCTTCCAGGACCCTGCCTCGTTTCACTTCCTACCTGAGATTGCAAAGCCCACTGGGACAGTGCTGAGAAGCTGTACAGAGTAAAAGATGCCAGACGTGGAATCACTCCTGACCCACCTGCCTTTTGGGAGTCATTCCTGGGATGTCCCTTGTCTTATGGCAGGGCAGTGCTAACAGCTCAGCAGTACTAGTGCCCCAGCTTGCTCCCTGGACTTGTTTCATTCAGCTCCTCTGGGCAGTCTTTGTAACCTGGGCTGCTGCTGCATGTGCTGAAGCTGAATAAGCTGAAGAACACCCCAAGCCCATTCCAGGTGTGCCCTCAAATCAGAGGGATTTGCCTAGGCCTGCATACCTTCCTTGTGAACTCCAAAGCAGGACCAACAGTGGGAAGAGGTGGACTCCTTCCGGACTAGGCAGGCACGCAACCTAGAGTTCAACTACCTCTAAAGACTCCTTGCTTCATATGCTGGGTTTTGTGCCTGATTTTAGAGCTTCCTGACATTCCCCAGCAAAGCCAGTTTCCTAAGTTAGAGCAGGACAGGTGAGTGCAACTGCTACTTCTGTCTGCACCTGTAAGCCCATTTTTCCTTTACATCCAACCTCCCACTGTATCAGTGCAGGTTAGTGTCTGATACTTCCAAACGTAGCTCCCTGGTGTCTTGCAACATCCTTCACCCGTGAAGAATGTACTTTTTCCACCCATATTTTAATCGTAAGCATAATAGAGCACAAGTAACTTAGAAAACTCTCTCTAAGCATAAGGAATTTTAGGCATTAGTAAAAACTTTCATGGAAGTTAATGAAATATGAAATAGGACTTGGAATATAAGCACCTTAAAAAAATCAATGGATGACTACAGGTCACTGAAGTCACCTATTAGGCACATTCTTGCACAACCAGGGATATGCTGCCTCGAGAGGAGGCCCCATGCCCAAGTCTGTCAGAGGTTTCAAGCCATCTAAATACATTCAAATCCATTTACAACACATAAAGTGGCTGCATAATGTCTGAAAGTTATTAATATTTCATATTCAGACTGTTAATGAACTCTTTCCACAAAAGTTAACTGTTGGCTAAACCATAGTCACCTCAAAACTTTATACACCACCCTACCTAATTAATCGCAATCACATGAAAAATTAATGGTCCTTGTAATGAGCTGTCAAAATCCAGTTATTTTAGTCTTTTTGACTCCAAATTGGAAAAGCATCATACCCAAGAAAGCTCTACAGTGATTAATCGGGCACCTTCCTCTCATACCACTTTGGCAGCGGTATCTCTGCTGACTTGAAGCTTCGTGCAGGGAGCAATGCAGCTTTCCAAGTTGTTTCAAGTCCATCAGAGCTTTCTTTTCAAAAACAATGTCTCAAATCTGTCCAGAAGCTCAGAGTTATCAAGTGCAAGCCTAGAGTTCAAGTGCTGAGCATTTTCTCGGATGCCCAGTTTACCCTGAAGACCTCCTGCCACAGTTTAAGATGCAGTCTGCTGGAGAATGCACTTCAGATACCAAACTCCAGAAGCAACAAAGGCAATGGAGAGGGGAAGGACCTTCATCTGCTCCAGGGACACTGGGACTACACAGGCTGAAGATCCAGCCAGCTCTCCCACTCCAATCTGGGGCAACAGAAGAGTAGCAGCACCTTATGATCTGCAGTATCAAAGACAGCTTAAAACTACACCTGACCCAATAAAGAAATCAGTGCATTGAATATGGTCACAATTAGAGGCCAACAATGATGAAGGGCTTTAAGGCAATCCCATACATCAGGACTGTCTCATCACATCACACCGCACAAAAACAGGAGCCATGAACAAAGACAGCACCGAGCTGTATAATGACAGACTTCCTTTTGAAGAGAAGCACCAACAGCTTCCAATAACAAAGGTTTGTTTCCTGCCTGCCCTTGCCAGCTGGGGAGAATGAATCTGTCACATCATGAGCCCATGCCCTCCTTTAAAATAGCAACTAACAACATGTCAAAGGACCTGGAACAACAAAGCCACTGAAGCAGCAAATGCTTTGGAGAATTAAGAGGCTAGCTTGCAGCCAGAGAGGTCTCACCAAGGAAGAGTTTGGGATACAAGATACTAATGACTAGGTAAGTAAGAAGAGAGAATTTGCACAGTGACCGAGAGAGAACAGGACGACTTCTCCCACCTGCGCTCCTGGTAGCCATCATAGGTCGAGTCATTCAGATAAACGATGGGGAAGCCAGGAGCCGCTATTGTCCCTCCTTCAGGAATGCTATAGGATGCCAAACCATCTAAAAGAGAAGGCCATATACCTCAGAAACACAGCAGCAGCAGCCTTCCATCATGTCTGCCCACATGATCCTTTCATTTATGATGTGGACCAACAGAAGCAGTTCGGTGGGCCTGGAATTCCCTTCTGCATACTTGGGGACACAGGTGAGCCCCAGTCAGAGTTGTGCAAGGACTACTGTCCAGTGGCAGGCATGGGAATTGCTACTTACCGTACCAGACACAGCCGTACAGCTCCACCCTCATGCAGACGGTCATCGGCAGCTCCGTCACAGGGATCACCCGGATAAAGCGAGCAATGATGGGAGGCCGAAGATCTTTCAGGACCACATCATACGTGTCAATGTTGCCTTGGATCACCTGGAGAAGAGAAGTCCTTATCAGTAACTTCTCCCTGTTGTGCGATTCACGTGTACAGGGGTGTAACTGCACCCCATCGCTTCAGACCGGACAGATTTCCCACACAGTATCTGCAGAGGGGTGGTGCTGCTGCTCCCCTCTCCTACCCAGGCAGTATTCTGGGGAGAGGAGAAAGGCAGGTGGGAGATGAATGCACGTGTGGACCTTATGCTGTAGAGACCTTCAGAGTTACTAGTACGTGGCCTCTCTTTCCCTCATCACTAGTTACCTGGTAGAAAAAGGACATCAGGAGCCTCTATGAACCACTGGACAAGCCAACGAAATTTCAGAAGTGCTGCAGCATCTGTTGGACGGAAATTCCCACAGCACTGCCATAATCACCCCATCCTGCTGAAGTGTGGTCTGATATGTCAGGAACTTTTACCTCCCCTTCCCCTCAGCCTCACTGCAGGTCTGGGAAGGGTCCTCTGCTCATTCTGACAGCGAGTGAAAACAGCTGAAGCTGTCATCCTCCCTGCTGGTGGTGGGCACAAAGTGCCCAAGGGACTTGGAAAGGGTCTGGACTTACGGAGACAGAATAAAAACACTTTTGACATTGAGAGTGAGCAACACGTGTGGGGGCTCCTGTCCAAAGATACTAATCATGAGAAGGATGAAGCAGAGGCTGAGGTTGCTCAGACCACATGGATTGCAATTGCTGGCGTATGGGCAACTTAGAAGATGAGGGAGGCCAACAAGGGAGCAGAAAAGTGGCTTCCCCTTCACAGGGAGGATCTCCAGAGAATAAGGTGGCTCGTGAGCACACTGAGAAGCAAGAGAGCTTATTGTACCACAAAAGGAAGCTGCTCAGAAGGCTGCATCTCTCTGAAGATGAGTCCAGGATAACAGCACAGAAAGGCTGCTGAAATAGAGAGGAGGTCGCCTCTGGTGGTCCTCCAGACTGCACCAGGAGAGCTGGGAAAGGTTCCTGCACCTGGTTGCACAGGTCTGCACAGCTGCATGGTCCCAGCAGCTGACCAACAAAAACAGAAGCTGACTCTCTTAAGGGACGGGAGGCACCTAGATAGGCTGGAGCATCGTGCGATCATCAGCGACGTGGAATTGGGCAAGGGTAAAGGCTGGGTTCTGCACCTGGGACTGAGCAATGCCTGGACAAAGGACGGGCTGGGAGAGGGGTGGCTGGAGAGCAGCCCTGCAGGAAGGGAGCTGGGGGTGCTGGTGACAGCAGGCTAATGTGACGCAGCAGCGTGCCAGCAGCGTGCCAGCAGGCAAACCACATTTTGGGGTGCATTCACCACAGTTTAGCCAGCCGGTCAAGTGAGGTGACTCCCACCAGGCCCAGCACTGCTGCGGCCTCAACCTGAGCACTGCATGCAGGTCTGCACAATGTGACATTTTCCACAGTGTGGAATGGATGTTAAGAAACCTGAATGCATCCAGAGGAGGGCAACAAAGCTGGGATAAGGGCTGGAAGGAGTGTCTAACAGGAGAGGCTGGGACACTTGGGCTGTCTTGCCTGGAGCAAAGGAGGCCCAGAGGAGGCTTCGCTGCTCTCTGCGGCTCCCTGAGAAGGGAAGTGCAGAGGCAGGTGCTGGTCCCTGCTCCCCCGTCACCAAACACAGGACACGTGGGAACAGAACAAAGCTGTGCCAGGAGAGAGTCAGACTGGATGCTCGGACAAGTTTAGTTACTGTGAGGGTGGTCAAACACTGGACAGGCTTCTGAGAGAGGCAGTCAATGCTCCATGCCTGTCAGGGCCCAAGAGGCAGCTGGATAATGCCCTCAGTAACACGCTTGTACTTTTGGTCTGTCAGGCAGTGGGACTGTCAGGCAGTGGGACTTGGAGATTTTTGTAGGTCCCTTCCAACTGAGCTATACTAACTCTTCTTCAGTAAAGGACAGTCAAAAAACAAAGCTAAAGGGGCATTTAGCTGCTTGTGGACGTTGTGACCAACTGAACACTGGTGCTACTTGAGACACAGACTTCACCCAACAGCATACCAGTGAAGAACAGTGACCCCAACAGAGCTTGAACTTCTCTTTCCAGCCTACAAACAGAGCATTTATAGCACACAAAGTCGGAGGGACAGGCAAGTAATATTAAAAGCCAAAGGTCTTTACTAATACTACTAGGTATTAGTACCTAATACGATCTCTGGCATTAAATACAGACCCTGCTGTGACTTCCAAAGCAACCCCAGTGCTAGAAATATCACTGTACCCACTACCTTTCTAATCTGGCTTAAGTCTTCAACCTCCTGAGTCAGGGTTTTTCAAGCCGGCTTGAAGCAGGGTGATCCAACTCAGACAAGCTGATTTCTTCCCGGGAAGTTTAAGGAAAGCTTATGAACATGACCAGAGTGCTGCTAGTGCTGCACTGTGTGTTCAAGTCTGCGGATAGCAGGAGACTGCTGCAGAGAAGCCCCTTTGGGTATGTGTGCTGAGCACATTTCCTACCCTCTAAATTTCTTCCTCCCCATAGCTCCCTACATTAAACACTGCTACCAGACATCCAGAACCTTATCTCATTTCCCTGCCACCTTCCTTTCTTTTTTAATCACAAAACAGAAATCTGCTTTGCAGCTTCCAATTTAAAAGGTGAGTGTCCAGCTGGCAGAGGGACATTCACATAACATTTTGACTATGGACAGAAAGGTAGCAAAGAGCCACAGTTTTTAGTCAAGGCAATGGCAGCAATTTGAGGAAGCAAGTCAGGGGAATAACAGTGCAACATCATAGAAAACACAGGAGTAAGGCAGAAGATGCTGAATGCCTGATGATAAACAGGGAAGAGTCAGAAGAAAGTAGGATGCACCAGGCAAGAAATAGAGCACGTGCCTTCTGCAGTCTAATTCATAGAGACTTGATTTGAATTTTGCATGCTCCACGATTCAGTTCCTACTACACTCACCTTCCTGCCCTGACGATCCTTCCAGGAGATCCAGCGCTCTCCATTGCGGCTGTAGTCAATTCGGTAAGCACGGGCAAATTCTTTGCCTGTGGCACGGGCATGCCGTCCCTGAGTCCCAATCAAGGTGATGAAAAAGAGCTTATGCAGGTCGATCTGGAGGAACTGTACATCTTCTGGCTGCAGCAAGCCAGCTGGGCACCAGGCTCCATCCCCCTCTTCCCTTTGTAACCTGGGGGAAAACACACACACAAAAAAATCTTCACTTCCAAGGACTCATCACTCCCAGTAGCTTACAAGACACCTTGAAACTGTGAGAACTGGGTGAAAGAGGCCTATTAGCAAGTGAGATGACAGCTGGCTACTAAATCAGCCCAAAGGGGAGAGGTGTTGTCTGTTGAGACTTACCAGAATGCTGTAGCCAGATTTGCACTGTTCAGATCAACTCCCTTGGATTTAGTTACGTCTCCTTAACTATAAAATCATTTCTTTCCCAGAAGCAATGCTTTAATGCTGATCAGAAACAACTACATTACTCAGTAGGAAACTGCATATTGCTTGCTTTTTAGCATTGTGCCTGGAAAGTGCATCCCTGCTTCTAAATCTTACACAGTATAGCCTCAACCTCTGCTCGACCTCCTGCTACAGCTCTAACAAGCACAAATAGGAGCCATCAAACATTTTAGAAAGAAAAGCTTTGCCCATCTACAAACTTTTCTGAGTCATCTCAAAACAGCTTTTATATTTCTTTCATTCATCAAACTTGCTAGCAGAGGACACTGCCAGTGACATGATGTGGAACTGTCTGGTTAGGAGTTGAACATCGTGGCACCAGATGCAGAGCTTCAGGTTTTATCCTTGGAGACTGCATGCCAAGAAGTATGCTCTAGCAATCAGTAGGTGGAGCCACTAAAGGAAACACTGCCTTACCTAGGCTTCTCTAGGCTGAGCTGTGCAAGCCAGGTGATGGTGAAAGATTTAAATGTGGAAAACTTATCTGGAAACAAGACGGCTGTGGTGTCTTCCACAACAGATTTTCTGGCAAACGTGAAAGCCCTTGTAAGGTCCTTGTCTTTCTGTCTGCCATCCCAGCTCTACCTGATGGGATCACTGAGTGCTATCAGCCCTCACGCATCAAGGAAAGAAGTGCCCAGCAGGAGACACTGGAGGTCAAGGTACAGGCTAGAGCAAAGACTTTTGTCTCAGGTTGGTCAACAATGTGCTTGCTTGTGCAAGACTTTCTTCCAAGATGTGGCAAGTAAAACAAGTTCTAAGAAAGGCACGAAGGTGATTGTGAAATGACAGGGGCAGACATCTGCGTAGGACGGCTATGATCTCTAACAAAATGAAGTCAGCTACAGGATGTCTTCGTGTCTGCACTCCGTGGACGCCCAGCTGCCCTAACAAACAGATGATGGTAGGAGATGGTAAGTGCTGCCTCAGGTCTTTGCAGAGCTAGGGATAAGCCATAAATCAGAGAACTAAATGCATCTCCTGGCTTTCAGGCCATTTAAAATCTTTGCTCTACCACAGACTAACAAAAGAAAGCCGGCATTAGGAGAGTTTTATGATTTTTGACGGCCCACATTCTTTATAAAAATAAAAGCATTGTAGTTAACCTGAAATTCCTATCTGACTTGCATAGAAACTAAAGGAATGTTTGACATCATCGTAACAAACAAGTCTAAGGAAACTTAGATTTGTAAATATTTTGAAAATCATCAGTTAGTAGTTCTGAGAGAAATGAAACAACAAAAATGAAAAGCTGACTTCATGAAAAAGACCATAGTATTTCTTGACCTTGAAAGAAAAATCTGAAGCTGCTTTTTTTTTTTTTTTTTTTTTTTTAACAATTCCCCAACTCTACAGTTTCCAGGGTTTTTTTGGTCGAAGTAGAAACAGTCCATTTCTTCAATATGATTCAGCTGAAAAGTGCTATGTGCTGCTTGTACAGCCAAATCCTGCAACTCTCCAAACACCAAGACATCACCACCTCTCTGGGTACCTTTCTGACAGGTCTACCACTTCACTCTCGTGGGGACAATTCTTAATATTGAGTCAGAATGTCATGTATTACAGCAATGCAATACTTTAAGGGTGAAGGTAAGCAAAAGCTCAATCATATTGGATATCTAAAAACTTTTTTTTTTTTTTTTTTTTTTAAATTTACACGTTTTGTCAGGGATTAACCTACCGTGCATACTGGGGTCCTGTGGAATCATACCACTGGCTGGAAGCAGTGATGTCTTCATCCCTTATCGTCCCTTCGTGCATTCCCAAAGGGTAACGGCATATAGCTGAAAATGGGAACAAAAGCAAGTAAAAATCAGTACCAACTCTTTTTAGATCACCAGACAAGTTTAATTAAAAGACTATCATGCCTAGGGAATAAACGTGGTAATGATAAAGTTGAGAATGCAAATAAAAAGGATGAAATACTTCATAATTGCTATAAACTAAAATTATGTGTAATGAAATACACTCAGAGCTAGTGTCATTCTGCAGAATTCTGGCAAGAAAAAACTTTACAAAGAAGCATTTTAAGAACAAGAAATCCAAACCCACGCTAGTGTTACTGGTTGCATGGGCCTATTCTACAATGAAACATTATATAGGAATAATGGTGCAATATAAAAAGGAAGCAACTGTTACAAGTTTTTGCTGCTTCCTCTGGAAGAACCCAGATGCTTGACTTGCAATCAATACGAAGGACTGTTACTATTCTCACCAGTCCAATAATAAGTGAGAAGTTAATGAGCATCTATCACAGGTGACCAAACAACTTATGGAAGCATCTGTACCGTGGTGTCACTGTGGGTTAGAGCTTACATTTGAGTGAAGCCCCCAATCATCCACACTGCTCCACCCTGGTCTGCCCCTGCCTCTAGCCATGAGTGGAGCAAGCATTTCTCTCCAGGCATGCTTCTCACTCCAACTTGGTGCCTCCAAGGCGTACAGACAACTGCCTCAACCCACAGGGCTCTGCAAGCTCAACGCAGCTCAATTCACCAAGGACAGTGCAGACGTAGCTCACAAGTCTATGCGGGCCAAGCCCTCCCCCCTGATGTCATGTTTTAAATATGTTTTGGAATATTAGAGATGCTTCGGAAAACTCAAAGTCTTAATGTATTCATTAAGGCTCAGTATTCAAAACAGGCAAGCAAGATATTTTTGTCAGACTGACATCAACAGTAGATTAAAGAAGTTATATGGGATTAAATCATGAAACAATTAAAGGCAAAAACACAGTCACTGACAAGTCCCAGAAGAGAAGGAAACGCGCTCTCTTATGCATCATTGGTCCTTGTGCCCTGAGCTCGCAGCAGCCCCAGCTCTTCCCCTTGCCTGCAGTGACACAGGCAAGTGACAGCACGTGCTGCAGCCTCTCCAGAGCGGGATGCGTGTCAGCTGCATCCTCAGCACATCCCCACAGCCACGCTGCCTGCTGCCACGTCAGCAGCTCTGCTTGCCCTTCCCTCGGGGAGGGCACGGCCTCGGGTGTCCTCGTTTCTGTTTCTCGTGGCTGCTGCCCTCACACCAAGCCTGGGTAGGGCTGTTCACTGGGTTCGGGAGCTACAAGACAAGACAGAAGCCTGAAACCCACCTTTCCGTTACCACCATGCAGAAGAAATGTGGGCTGAATAACGACCTGCCAGATTTCATGCAGAAATGCCTGTGCACAGAGGTTACTGCGATAGGGTTGGGCTGCAGCTGTTGTCAGGCACAGCATCAATGCACGCGTGCTGTCATTAAATAATCTTGATAAATTATTAAATAATCTTGTAGAGGAGATGGATGGTGAGTTGACAATGTTTGCTGATGACCTCAGATTATTTAATATAAAAAGATTCCAACTGACAGAAGAAAGCTCCCATGGTACTGTCTGACTGCAGTAAAACAGCACAAGAACTAGGTAAAGAACAAGTTAAACATACAAGCACAACTAAAACTCCAAAACAGCTCCTTCAGGATACACAGGTTACCATGCAGAGGAAGGAGGCCATTCTATGAGCAGCTGAATGCACATAAAATCAAACAGTGAATGCAAAAACCAGAACACACCATTACACAGCTGTCTGCATTCGTGGTCAGATGCTGGTCAGCTATGGAATACAGCTTCCTTTTCCCATCAAAAGGTAGAGAAGGCAATGTAGACAACACACAACGAAGGATCAACAGACTTATTACAGAATAGACTACTGAAGCATGACAAAGATCATTTACATGCTGAACAATTCCTTGCTGCTTCTCAAAATCCCAGAACTAGGAGGCATCAAGGCATCAAAAGATGAGGCAGCTGGGTTCAACACCAACATATGCATCCTTAACCTGCTAAACACTACAAATGCCAAAGGTTCACATGGCTTCAAAAATCAGCTGAACTCACAGATTCAATGTGCACTAACAGCTACTTAATGGAAAGGCACAAGTGCTCGCTCAGAAAGCTCCGAAGCAGCTTGCTACAGTCGGCTGAGAAGGCAGCTGGGGGAAGCACCCTGTGAACTCATCTGGAACCAGCCAGGATGGGATCCTGCTGGAATCGGGACACCAAGCTGGATGGGCCTCTGGTCTACCCTGAACATTGATCCATCTGAGGTTTTGTAGAAGGCCTGTTTACAGAAGAAATCCCTGGAAGGCAGCTGGTCTCTGGCTGTGGTCAGTGCCTACACTCAGGCACGATGACTGTGGCTGCTGAAAACCAACCCAAGGCTCTGACCCTGCTCTGATGCTGAACAGTAAGTTCAGTAAACCAGCCTGGCCTCACCTGGCTTAATTCTGACCTGTCCCACCATAGACCAGTACAATCCAAACCACTGCAGGAAAGCTAGTAGGCTGCTGACTGGTGAGTACCTAAAGAGTTCCCAAAAGGGCAGAATTGTCACCTGAAAGCAGAAAGGGCTTTTGTGATTCTGCAGTGTGAGTCCTGTCTGGTCTCACCTTTGTTAAGGAGAGCAGACCCTACACCAATGCCACGTGGAGAGCCAGGGAGGGACTCTTGGAGACTGGGAGTTATCGCAGTCCTGAACAAAACTCACTCACTCACACATCCTGGGCTGGCAGATGGAAGCCAGAGTGGCTCTGGCATTGAGGATGTGCTCTACAGGTGGCTGTGATTCACAGCAGCAGAGGGCTCTCACCAAAATGCGCATCCCATCAGACTCCTGCTCAGACTTCTCCAACTCCTTACTACACACCCGGGGACACACTTGTCTGCCATGCAGATAGATACCCAGAGGGTTAGAAAAATGTCACAGCTCACATCTCTTATAGTGAGGTCAAACATCTGATGCTGGGCAAAAGAACCACACAGGATCCTTCCCAAACAGGTCTGGCATCGTCCACAAAGCAGCCCCTTCAGTTTAGAAGGCATCTGCATTGCTTACAGGTCTACAGCCAGTCTGGAGGGGCTTCAGACAACTCCTGGAGCAGATCAGGGCAACACAACCCAGGGCCATCAGCTGGGGCTGTGTGTCTGGGTGGGAACAGCAGGGCACAGCCCCTGGGACAGAGGCAGCTGAACAGCTGCGGAGCTGAGAAAGCGAAGCTGCTGGAGGAAGCCACAGCCAGAACACAGAAGTACTAGCAAAGCCACATGCTCATTTCTCAGTGAAAGGAATTACTGCGAGGGTGGTACCACAGCCTGGTGCTCAGAGCCCATTCGACCAGCTAGGGTCCTGCAGGGGGAGAGCTATTCCTGCACCTTCGGGTGCGCTGACTTCTGCACTCACTGCCACCAAAGGGGATCTGCACGTGATTGACCCTCTGGCTGCTGTCTTCCCTGTCCTGTTCTTCCACTAGTTTTAACCATCAGAACCAGCTGGCAACCACTGCTCAGAGCTGGGCATTAGAGGGAGGCACAGCAACGCCTGCCGAGCTTCCTCACGGGCTTCACATCACTTCTGTTCAGTGGCAGTGACCTCAAGCTGCCGGGAACATCTACAGGGCAGAGCAGTCAGAGCCAGACACAGTCACAGGACTTCAAGCAGAGCCAGACCCAGCAGGGTGAACCAAGCCCCTCAGGGTAGCACTGCTGTCTCGCCACACCTTGGGACAAGCTGGAAAAGGACTACACTCATTATTTCAGACTGTCTCTGGCTGAAACCACCTCATTATGGTGATTTTCGCAATATATTGCAGACTGTTATCTTACTCATCTCTGTCAGACTTGCAGCTTGCTCCATGCAGTAGGATACAAGGCATTCCCTCCCCAGGGGCTCGCAGGCTTGTATCACTGTCGCTAGCCTAGAGCTTTGAGCCAGGTAAGGTTTTTAAACCTTTCGTTCCACATCTCTCTCCCCCCAAAACCCTGCTTGCTGGCTGGAGAGCTGTGGTTTATGGTTTGCTAACTGGTAATTTGTTTTCCACAGCAAGCAAAGTCTCTCTGAGCCAGTCTAGAGCCAGTTTTTTTTCTGCAGGCCACATGGCCAAAGTTATGAAGAGAGAACCAGAGCTCCAAAAGCATGCTTGCTGAGGGCACAGACCCTGTGGGTGGGTGGGTGCAGAAAGGAATAAATCCATGTGCCTGAGCCCTCCAGGGACTGTCAGGTGTTCCACTCCAGCACAGCCATCAGGGAAGACAACCCATCTCGGGCACCCAGGGACTACGTTAGTGAGTGTATGTGTTCATTACAGTTATGTGCATTCACCATGAGAAGCAAAAAAAAAAAAAGGCTGCAAATGAAGATGTGAAAGGTGGGAGAGCACGGTCCTCTCCCAGCCTGGCAGCTCCCTACCAGGGTTGACTTCGGTGCCAGAGGGCTCAGGCAGTGAGGCCAACAGCAGCATGCAGAAGATCATGGTAGCAGTCGGAGGCGCTGCACAGGGTCGGATGGGCGCGAGTCCTTCACAGGTGGCAGCTGCCGTCTACATTTCTGAAAGACAAAGCAGAGAGAGATAAGAGTCCTCCCAAGGCAGGGCTTGCTATACTGTCATTGCCTCGTGATGGGCTGGGCAATTTTTCATGCCTTCAGAAGCATCCTGACCCTGCTCTGATCCTTCTTCTGATCAGAGGCTCGCTGATGAATGAACGGCTGCCTGATCACCCACATCCCCTCTGGTGCTGTTAACATCGCCCAGCTCAGCTGCCGCATCGACAGTGTGGACACACTCAATGACTGCTCTTAAACAAGTCCAATGAAAAGTCATCTCTCCCCCGTTTATTGATTGCTTTCCTTGTTATATTCACAAGCCCAGCAGCTGTTTCTAGAGCAAACCTGCATGGCCCAGCCGGGCTCCCCAAGTGGTGCTGATCCATCCAGACACTTCCACCTGCACCAACTGCCTGCTCCAAGCACTCCAAAACTTGTCACTCAATCTCAAGATAAACGTCTACAACAGGGTGAAAATAATCTCTCCCTTCACATCTACGTGGCTGCCAAAAAAGCATGTGCGCTTACACATGCAAGTACACTTAATTTCCTGTTTGGAAATGAGGAAAACTGCAAAGGGCTTAAACTCTGGCAATTCCAGTGGAAAGCCACGATACGACCCATGTTCCTGGAGGTGTTATCAGTGAAGCTACACAAATTCTTTGCATCCACATTCACTACAAACTGCCTCGGGAGGTTCCCATCCTGGAAGATTGCTTTATGGAAGGCAGGCTAGAGGGCCTGTCTCCTACTGAAATGGTAGAAGAAAACAGAACAAATCAATAAACAAAAAAATGCCAGAGACAGAGGGCATTTGCTTAGAAACCCTCGGAGGGGCATTAAAAAGGCAAAAGTGGATGTTAGGATTGGTCAGCAGAGAGAGAGACCATCACCATGCCAGTGCGAACGCACATCTAAGAATGACAGAGCATCAGATGCCCTTAGCTCAGAGTTGTAACAAAAGGCTGTATTTTTTCCACCCAACATAATTAAACTGTACAAGGCTCAGCCTTCAGTTGCTGTGGATACCACCACAATTGGCTTTACTCACTACAAAGATGCACTACGGGTTCTTAAAGCCGAAGGTAAAACCTTTGGCTCCAGAAATCCCCCAGCTGGACACCCAGGAGCTAAATCAGGGCTAGAATCACTGAGGCTTGCCCTGGTTTTATGCTCTTTCCTAAGGATTTGCTACCGGCCATTGTCCCTGCTGGATTCCATCAGAGAAGAAGGCTCCGAGCCCGAGAGCCGACCTAAGGGCCCTCTTGGGAAAAGCCAAAGGGGAGGAGGGGAACCAACAACAGGCAGGTGCTGCCCCGAGGCGCTGTGCCCAGCACTGTGGCTACAAATAAGTGGCAGAAGACCTTACGATTGCCAGGGCACCTCCTGCTTCAGCCATCTCTTGTGCTCCCTGTGAGCACCTTGGCCATGGCCATAACAAGGGTCTGTGATCCTGAGACCTCATGCAACCTGAGGTGGGGGCTGTGTAAAAGCAAACCAGCGGCAAGGAAAGGCAGCTCACATCTCAGCAGCGGGGTCTGGCAACCAGGGGAGAGGCTTTGGGAAGCCCTTGTGAGCTGCCTGTGCATCTGTCATGGTCTCCCCCCCAAAAACTGAGGGGACCCCAAAACTGACAGTGCAGCTGTGGATGCCATGGAGCAGAGACTGGCCGTAGCTCACTGGAGGGGGATTTTTTGAGGACGTTTTTGCAGCAGAGTTTGAAGACAGAGCTGGATGTTTGTCGGTGCGGGCAGTTGCCTAGGGTACCCCAGCTGACCAAGCAGGGCTGCCAGTGGGAACTGGTGAGAGCTGGGTGCAAGAGGACACTGTGCTCACACAGGGCCTTAGGAAGGAGAAGATCATAGGTCTTAAGGCTTTCATTTTATCCATCTTCCTGACATAGGTGGTGGCAAACCCAGCAGAGAGTACTGGGTGCCCTGACCACGGCCCTGGGGCTCCGTGGGCACAGCCTGGGCTGGAGACAATCCTGCCCTGGGGCCCTGGGCTGGAACAGCTGCAGAACAGAGCTGTGAGCTCCTGAGGGGGTCCCTGCAGGAGGACAGCGCCCTGGAGACATCTCCCCATCGGTGACTTCCCAGCTGGAGGCTGTGCAGCTGGCAGCCATATGGGGCAGCCCTCAGATGGCAGAGGACGAGCACCCCGCTGCCCCATGCCCTCAGCACCTAGGAAGGGCCCGGCCAGCAGGAGGGCAGCAGGTACTGTGTAGACACAAGCAGCTCCCAGCAAAACCCTCTGGGAATGTGCCCTGTAGGTGAGCCAGGGTTAAGAGAAAACATGGCCAAAGAGCACCAAAAGTCATCGTACATTGCCAGGTGAGGACAAGAGACGGCTGCTGATGCAAAAAAGGAATCAGAGCATCACCAGATGTGATTTAAGTGCTCGGATGCTGTGCCCTCCTGTCTGATCCAAAAGCCCAGCAAAGGGCTCGGCAGCAGGGAGGCAGCCGCCCAGAATGGGGATGAAGCAGCACCCACCCTGTGGCTCAGCACCCACAGCCCCACTGGGACAGGTTACCACCACCACAGGGCTCCAGCAGCTGCAGGAGAGGTGCTGGGTCTTAGCATAAGGATTTGGCCTTTTAAGAGGATGACAAACTTAGCACAACTCTTGTCGGGTTATGAGGACAGCCACCAATATTCCTGCACTATAACAGATGCGACGTACAAAACAAGCAGCAACATTATCTCATTTGACCAGGTACTGAACAAGCACTATCATTTAGTGCCCATCTCTGCAAAGATCACATTAAATCACACCCATTGTATTGCCATCATGTTGACATTTAGCCACCTGAATACAGCGATCAGAATGTAAAAAATAACAGGAGGGAAGAGGGAACTGGGGGGAGCAAGGTAGGTCACACGAGTGCCCAAGCACCACGCCAGCTCCTGCCACCGAGCCAGTGGCAGCAGCAGCAGCACCAGCCCCATCCCAGCCCCATCCTGCCCTGCTGGCTGTGGCCAGCACCCCATGGGCCTGGGGCTTCCCCAGGATGTGACAGGCACGGGGAGCCCAGCAGGTCACACACAACCGCTGTGGCCTGGGGGAGCTGCAAGCTGAAACTGGAAGATGAGGCCAGAAGCCAGCCTGGTCTCCAGGAGAGACGAGGAAAGCTTCAGAGCTGGCTCCAGAGCTCACCTGTGCAGTTCTGTGCCCACGAATGCTGGCTTTGGATTTGGCCCTGAGACCTCTGCTTCCACTCCCGTGCCTAAGGGTGTCCACGACAAGCAAGATGAACCCTCTCAGGAGTCATCAGCGATGGCAGAGGGAACCCAAAGGGCTGGCTCGGACCAGCCTCAAACTCCCCAGGGAGCCACAGTTACGTGAGACGAATCCTCCCCTTTGTACACGGCCGTGAAGAAACGCTCCCAGCAGGTCAGCCCGACGGGGGGATTCAGCAGCTGGGCCTTGCTGGCTGGTCCTGGCCCACCACCGAGGCCGTGGGGGAGTCCTGGGAGAGGAGCCGCACACAGGGAGCAAACTGCGTCACTTCTCATCTGCTCGTGCCCTGCAGCTGTCCCTGCCTCGAGCAAGGACACCGAGAACGTTTTTTGATCCTGTCCTGTACTTAGAGGAGCCTCAGCCCCACTCTGGAGCTCTTCCTGTTGGAAACTGTTTGAACAACTGCTGATGTTGAGTTTTTGCTAAGTCCTCATCCCAGCTGGTAGTAGATTTGGTTTCCCAACTGCACACTTCCATGTGCTAGGACAGACAGGAATACACCAACTTCCAGCCTCTGCACAAATGGCTCAGAAATCTTCTTTCTAATGATTTTTTCTGCCTAGACAGCTCACTTTTCTTCATAGCTCCTTCAGCTGCACTGGAGTCCCCTGCTTTGCTTTATGACCTGCCCACGTACACGGGAAGTGCCAACACTACAGCACAAGCCTGAAACCAGCACAAACAGGATTAGCAACATCCTCACAGAGGCAAGAAAGTGTTAAACTCCGTTCCCGGACTGAATGGATCAAGTTGCTAATTGCTAACAGCTGGCTGCAGGAGAATAAAATCCTGTTACAATCATTGTGAGAGTGGAAAAAAAATCTTCTTGCTGAAAAACTCCCTAAGAAACGTAAGGGAGGGCAGTTTATTCCCAACGTACCCAGCAGATACCACGTCTAAACCCCGAGCCATCCTCCCCAGAGGAGCTCGCTGTGACCCCGCACTGTCCCCAGCGCAGCGTGGGGCTTACAGCAAGGCCTCGGCGCAGCGGGCGCAGGAGGGAGCTGTTCTTTAGTGATCCACATGAAGAAGGTGGGACTTGGAGCTCCTCCAGGTACTGTTCTCCCTCCAGAGATCCATTACGGAGGTCTGGCATGTTTGCAAGCCTCTCTAGATCCCAGCTGAAGCAGGCATTTGTTTTAACTGGTTCCTTCACAGATCGTTACCTCGGAGCGGGACCTTCGGGTTCGTTGCAGGAATCCCATTAGAGATGCCCAGCACCGTGCCAAGACACTCTGTGGTCACGACCAAAACCCATAGGTGTGCGTGAGAGGTGTGCTGTACAGCAAGAGCATCTATCCAAAAAATCAGAATATCCCCAGAGGAGGCTCAGGAATGGCCAGACCCATCCAAGGTACCTGGATGTTACAGCCACAAGTCCTAAAGGCGTGTAAGAGGAAACAGCGAAGCTACTAATTGGGGCAATATCTGAAGCCTGAAGGCCAACAGGTGTGATTTCCAGCTTTGTGGCTCCAGAACAACAGTGGAGCTTTTCTCTTGGCCTGAGAACTAATCTGAGGCACCCCAAACCCAGCAGTCTGCCCCCGGAGCACACACCTGAAGCCCATACAGCTCCAGTTTGACCGAGCAAAACGTGCTGAGGAAAGCACTCAGCAGAAAGCATTCTGACCACCTCTTGAAACGTTTCACTTGATTTACAATTCCAATACTTCTCCTTGCTCCTTG